CAGCGTCTCCTGGAGTTCTGCTGCCGTCATGATCTCTGCATCACCAATTCCTTCTTCGACACCAAGCCCCAGCATAAGGTTTCCTGGAGACATCCCAGGTCGAAGCATTGGCACCAACTCAACCTGGTGATTACGGGGCGTAACAATCTGAGAAATGTCAAACTGACCCGCAGCTTCCAGAGTGCAGATTGCGACACCGACCACTCTCGTCGTTTGCAGAGTAAAGTTCCAGCCCCAGAAAATCCACAGAGCAAAGAAAGACAGAAGACCATGCATTAATGTAAACAAGACCCGTGACCTTCACAAGGTGCAGGAATTCACTGCGGCGCTGGTAAACGCCCTTCCTGTACCACCCTGCGATTCGTTGGCAAACTCTTCGCTAGGGTCGTTTTGGTCAGGCTTCAGATTCTTGCCGAAAGAGTGTACCCCGAGTCACAGTGCGGTTTCCGAGCAGAGAGGTCGACCACTGACATGGTGTTCTCCCTGAGACAGCTTCAAGAAAAGTGCAGGGAGCAGAGAAAAGCCTTATACATTGCCTTCATTGACCTTACAAAGGCCTTCGACCTCGTGAATAGGGACGGACTCTTCAAGATCTTGGCCAAAATTGGCTGCCCACCCATCCTACTCAGCATGATACAATCGTTCCACAAGGACATGAAGGGGACAGTCGTGTACGATGGCTCAACTTCTGAACCATTCAACATTAACAGTGGTGTTAAACAGGGGTGTGTTCTTGCTCCAACCCTGTTCGGCATCTTCACGATCCTCGTCAAGCATGCCTTTGGAACAACCACAGAAGGCATCTATCTCCGTACAAGATCTGATGGAAAGCTCTATAATCTATCCAAACTCCGAGCAAAGACAAAAGTACGGATGCGAATCCTCAGGGAGTTCCTCTTCGCCGACGACGCAGCGATCACCACACACACAGCAGAAGGCCTGCAGCAGCTACTCAACCGCTTTGCCGCAGCCTGTTCCGCATTCGGCCTGACAATCAGCCTGAAGAAGACACAGGTGATGGGACAAGATGTCAATGAGCTACCCCTGTATGAATATAGCAGACTATGTGCTGGAGGAAGTTTGTGTACCTGGGCTCCACAATCTCAGACACCCTTTCCCTGGACACTGAGCTCAACAGGCGTATCGGGAAGGCCACAACAACACTGGCCAGGCTCACAAAGCGCGTTTGGGAAAATGCCAAACTGACAGTGCACACCAAGGCACAAGTCTACATGGCATGTGTGGTGAGTACACTTCTCTACGGCTCGAAATCCTGGACCCTGCACTCTCGCTAGGAGAGACGGCTTAATACCTTTCACATGCGGAACCTGAGACGCATCCTTGACATCACGTGGAAAGACCACGTCACCAACAACACTGTACTCGAGAGAACAGGAGTCCCTTCAATGTTCACTCTCCTGAAACAGAGACGCATGCGATGGCTGGGACATGTCACACGCATGGTCGATGGCTGCATACCGAAGGACCTCTTGTATGGAGAACTGGCATCAGGAAGGAGACCCACCGGAAGACCTCAGCTGCGTTTCAAAGATGCCTGCAAACACGACCTCAAGCAGATGAACATCTACATCAACACTTAGGAGGCAGCAGCTGTGGACAGCTCTGCCTGGAGATGTAAAGTGCAGAAGGGACTCCAGCAATTCGAGGATGAACTGAGGAGGCAGGCGGAGGATAATAGATTTCAGAGAAGGTTTTGACTACTGTCAGACGCACCCGCTTCGGCGTTTATCTGCGCTCGCTGCAGTCGAAACTGTCATTCTCGGGTTGGCCTTCACAGCCACAGCAGGCGCTGCATCCAACTACACTACAACAACTAGACACCCAGGGCACAACTCCATAACCCCACGGGATTGACAGATGCCTACTACTACTACATATGTATATGATTTGGGTTTACGGTGGGTGCTCTTCCAGAACCCCCTTAAAGTGTTAGGCTTCCACTTCTGGCAGTAGTTTTAGTATACATAGCTTAGTTAACTTCTGTAACTCATTTAATCTAGAATTAATTAAGACTACCAAATGTTTACTTAAGGAATAAATTCACACTGCACAAACGAGATACAGGGAAGAATGATTGCTACGTACATGCAAGTAACTAAGCTATAATTAATTGTAATTAATAACTGTAAATATTAATTATTACTAAATATACCTTAACAATAAATTAGTCCCATATCAATGCATTTTTCTTCCAAGTACAGAAAATGTGTATTTACACTTGTTACAAATAATTTATATACAGTATTGACACTGGACAAATAAGACACGTGCACATTTGTTACAAACAAAAGACACTCCCAAACAAGAAAAACATTCACAATACATTTACTCAAAATTATCAAACAAACAACTTATTAAATTTTGGAAATCATAAACAACCGTTCACAAACAAAGTCCAGTGATATAAGATCTCTCACAAACAAGAAAATGTGTTAAAATGCATTACAAACAAGTCATGATAAGACTTGTCTCAAATGATAAACATTCATACTGTCGCAACAGGGAAAAATCTGTATATAAGTCGCATTTAGTCTAAAAGACACACGCTTGTACCAGACTCAAGAGCAATATGCGTATATCTATCACATTTCAGTAGCAAGACGAACCCGTGTACATTAAATTGTTACTAAAGAATAATGTATATACGCCACATTCTGTGTCAAGATGAACCTCCTCCCATATATTAGATTACTAAAGAATACGCCACACTTATTAAGGTTAACCTATATACCTCAGCCTTTCCATCGAGAACAATGCAATCATGAAAGGGTTTAACAAGAGTGTAGTTTACAGCTTAGCGATTTTTTATTTGTAATTTTCCAATAATAGCTTTGAGTAGATGTACAGTGGTAGGACAAAGGAGGTACACTTTGGAGTGTAGTTGAGGCTACGGCAGATGAAGTCAGTTAACACCTCGCAGCACAAACACAGTGCTTGCTACACAAACAAACACCCATGAAGCCCAACTTGGGTGTCAACACGCCACAAAGCACAATCAATGAAGGTGTGTGAGTAGGCACAGAGCTATACTAACAACAGTGATGGTGAGCATCTATCAAGCGAAAATTGGGTTGGCAAACTCGCTAAGCATGCAGACACCCACACACACACACGCATGCACACGCACATACATACATACATACATACATACATACATACATACATACATACATACATACATACATACATACATACATACATACACACACACACACACACACACACACACACACACACACACACACACACACACACACACACACACACACACACACACACACACACACACACACACACACATCCTGGTACATACAAGGGGGAAACAACGCACACTTAACACAGTAATGTCTGTTGACTGACACACTAAAATGGGTACACTGACAAGCTGTCTGATGTAGAGGGCAAGTGTGTCATAATGACTGCCCTCACACCCCAGAGTCACCCCACTTCGTTGCTGCACCTCACATTCCTACAGCTCCTCACACCCTTAAGGGGGGTCTTAAGGGTGTGAGAGCCCTTAAGAGCACTCTCAGAGCCTTTCATAATTGGTATTCCTCACTCCCTCAGGGGACCCTTAACCTGTCATAGCCCCCTCCCCCCCTCACAACATCAGGACTCCTCACACTGGCCTTAAAATTATTAATAATATCTTCGTTGAAGAGTTAACCCTTCCATTACGGTATGTCCTTATGAACTTGCGGGAGGTTGAGCTTTGACTCTTTGGTCCCGCCTCTCAACCGTCAATCAACAGGTGTACAGGTTCCTGAGCCTACTGGGCTCTTATCATATCTACACTTGAAACTGTGTATGGAGTCTGCCTCCACCACATCACTGCCTAATGCATGTGTTAACTCTGTTGATATATGGTTGCACCCTCAAATTTCAGTGGTATGTGGAGATAAGAGTGGCCATACAATGAACAGTTATAGTGCCCAATCCTTCAGTGCCCAATCCTTCAGTACCCAAGGAATCACATTGAGGAGGATGTGTCACTGCTGCCTCACCACATAACTAGACTCTTAGCCTAGTGCCTCCTCATTCATTTATTTGTGATGATAATAGGGGTTTCCCCTGAATGAACTTGTGGAAATAGCAGATGATTCCCCCACCATTATAGGGAATAGTGGAGGAGTGAGGTGATGGAATAACGACTCCCCCACTATTATTACTACATCGTATTTCCTCACTTTTATGAATTCCAAAGGCAGAATTTTTTAAATTATTGGGGGGTAGTTGGGGAGGAGAGCCATTAACAGGAGTTAATAGTTTGATTTTGTCATCATTCCACCCACAAAGCAGGGCAAATAGGAAGTTGTACTTGATTTGATCATAATCTCCGCATGGTTTTTGAGCTTTGTTTAAATCTAAATTTATTTTGAATTAGTATTTTGTTAGTAGGCTCCTGGGAGATGAGGAGGCAAGGCCCTCCACGCCCAAATTATGGCAACTAATTTTCGTTTTAGTTATCTTCCTCTTTTAAACTATAATTACAAAATTTTTGTTGTAATATTATTTTAAATGTTATTTTCATATTTTTGTTGCCTGGGCATTCTCGTGATAAATCATCCCTTCTCAGCCTACCACAGCCAACTTGTGGTATATTAAATTATTGGCTTACTTATTCACAAACATTATTTGCCTTATATATTCTTAATTGTTTATTTTAATTTATCAAATATTTCAAAATGAAGGCAGAATCTCTACAAAAAAATTACATAATGGAAGGGTTAACTAACATAAAAATCAATAACAGTTTGTCATATTTATAATAATAATGACCAACTGACTGTTCAAAGATTTACTGTGAATATGCAGTAACTGGCCAGTGTGAGGATGAGTATGAGGATGAGTGTGAGGATGAGTGTGAGGTTGGGAGTGAGGAGAGCAGCGACCGAGTGACTACTAGGTACAGCAGGAAACACTCCTGGAGCAAAGGTGTGGGGGGTGAGTGGAGGGGTGTATATGGCACCAGCACTCACCTGAACCCTTGGAGAAGGAAGAGCTAGTAGGAACCTGAAGGAAGTCGTTGGAATTCCTGTTGGTGGGCGTTGCCTCTCTCTCTGTAGTGGCTTGAGCAGCAGCGGCAGCAGCGGCGGCAGCAGCTGCTGCGGCTACTACGGCAGGAGGGGGTGCCAGGGGGATTATCTCTGGGCGTGGGGAACTGGCCACACCTGTGTGCAATGCCTTCTGCACCAGCCCTGTCAGTGATGCCAGTTGCCGTTCCATTTGTTCCACCCGCATGCTGTAGAAGGCAGACCTGCCGGGAATATCAGGAACAATCAAGTGATTGTTAACACCACACTCTTAGCCATCACTCCATCTACTGTCTACCCCTCAGCGTGCTCTCTACATTCACCTTTCAGCTATCTACAATAACTGCTTCTATCTCCTCTACTGCTGCCTATCACTCCTTCTATTAGCATAGCCACCTGCCCTTTACAGCTATAGTCCCAGTGATGAAAACATCATGCAGAGCATATGCAAACTGTGAGAAGCCATTACTGCCGAGCCGAATAAATGGAGTATTATACAAGTGTTGTAATAGATATACAGTGTAATTGTACATTAGATATTAATAATCTCCATCGAGACCTTAGAAATGTCTAGATAGATTTCTGGCGGAGGTCTACTTTGACTGGGGGGGTACCTCCCAATCCTCGGACAAACATTCTTTCTTTGTTAGATGACTCAGCTGGTGCCGCCCCCTCTACCGGTCGGAGCACCGTCGAGTCTGTTTAATAATTCGTTCTAATAAGGTGGTCTTTTAATGAGTTACCTTTCTTCCATGTTACCATAGCAGGTGTCTCTGGAAAAGAGGGACCATATTGGGTGTCGTTGTAGGTTTCCCTCACCCAAGTCCATATATCTCAGGTTAGACTGTAGTGGTTTAGCATAACCTTGGAACAAGAGCGTTCGTAGGCGCCATCTGTCCAGGTGTTTGTTTCTCTTTGTTACTCTTACTAAGAGTAGGAGTAAATCAACATTATACACCAGATGAGCTTGAGCTTAACTGTACAACAGCTGCCAGTGACATAGGTGCTCATTTTGTTCTTAATGTTATAGACTCACCCTTTGAAACTCTTGCAAGAGTTGATAAAGCAATCAAGATACTGAAATATTGGAGCTGCATACACCCACCACTGGTATTGGATGTTTGTATGTTATGTTTCATGACATTCCTTGCCACACCAGGAAAACCGATACCTTGTGGATACCTTATGTTGATTCCAAGGATCAACAACCCGGCGGCCCGGTCTCTAATCACATCTCCTGCAGCAAGTTGAAGCAAGTAGACTGAACTCTCCCCCCCTCTCCCCCAATTTGCATGCCTATCCCAAACAGTTTATCAGAACCACTAAGTTTAGAAATGTATAATTAAGGTGATCAGGGTAGTTTTTCTCGGTTTAATTCATGCTGCTGTCACACAATCCCAAATCATATGGTATTACACCATACCAGGGGTTAAGTACCAGGGGTTAAGTACCAGGGGTAAAATACCACTTGTCATTACCGAATGACAAGTGGCCTTCACAGTTAGTCATGCATCATATTCTGAGCTGTTATGTGTCATATCTTATTGACACAAAGTCTGCAATACTGTCATGCCATATTTCACTGTCTTAGGCTCTATCTAGTTCTTCTCCTACTTATTTGTCCCCTTCCTCAGTGTAACTAACCTGCTCCCCTTCCCCTACGTCTCACCTGACTCTCCTCTTCCTCCACACCTCCCTCTCCTCTCCCCTCCCTTTCCCCCTTCCTTCCAATCCCCTTCCCCTCCCTCTTCCCCTCTCCTCCCACTCCCCGGACACTCCCCCGTCCCCTCCCTCTCACCTGGCCTCCTCGTCGATGATAGGAGTGACGGAGCCGGAGCGGGAGCCGTACTGGCCGCCGTAGTAAGGGTCCTCGTAGCTGGGCGTGGGTGTGATGTAGGTGGAGCCGCCCCCACTGCTGCTGTAAGGGCGCGGGGAGCGCTCAGGCGACGACAGGTACCCGTCTGCCAACATCCTTTCTGTCAAGGGAGAGATGACAGTCTTAAATTGATGTCAGGGGGAGGGGGGAGTGAGTGAATGTGTGTGTGTGAGTGAGTGAGTTGTGTTTACTAGTTGTGTTGTGTGGGGGTGTGAGCTTTGCTCTTTGGGCCCGCCTCTCAACTGTCAATCAACTGTTTACTAACTACTTTTTTTTTTTTTTTTCCCCACACCACACACACACACACCCCAGGAAGCAGCCCGTGACAGCTGACTAACTCCCAGGTACCTATTTACTGCTAGGTAACAGGGGCACTTAGGGTGAAAGAAACTTTGCCCATTTGTTTCTGCCTCGTGCGGGAATCGAACCCGCGCCACAGAATTACGAATCCTGCGCGCTATCCACCAGGCTCGAGGCACAATGTGTGTGTGTGTGTGTGTGTACTCACCTATTTGTACTCAACTATTTGTGTTTGCGGAGGTTGAGCTTTGGCTCTTTGGTCCCGCCTCTCAACTGTCAATCAACAGGTGTACAGATTCCTGAGCCTACTGGGCTCTATCATATCTACATTTAAAACTGTGTATGGAGTCAGTCTCCACCACATCACTGCCTAATGCATTCCATCCGTTATGTGTGTGTGTGTGTGTGTGTGTGTGTGTGTGTGTGTGTGTGTGTGTGTGTGTGTGTGTGTGTGTGTGTGTGTGTGTGTGTACCCTGATTTTTTGACATCAGTAGATGTGTGTAATTACCTAAGTGTAGTTACAGGCTGAGAGCTATAATATGGTGTCCCGTCTTCCCAGTACTCTTTGTCGTATAACACTTTTGTTTTTAACTATCGATGGTTTTGGCCTCAACCACCTTCTCACTTAACTTGTTCTGACTGTCTAGCACTCTGCAAAAGTGAACTTTCTAGTGCTTTTTGCAACTTTGTTTCCTTAGTTTGAATCTATGACATCTTGCTCTTGAATTTTGCAGTTTTCAAACATTCTTCTTTGTCAATTTTGTCGGTTCCTGTTACTATTTTCACGTTTTCATATTAGTGATCATATCGCCGCTTTTTCTTCTATCCCCTAGACGGAAAAAAGAGACACAGACTCCAAAATATGTTTAGGGTCTATGATAGTGTTTTTTTTATATTAATTCTTGATGATTATAGAATTCCAGGAGTGTGGGGCCTGGTGCTGAGTACATGGGCATGCTCTCTATGGCTACTTCGAAGAGCAGTTGGATCAGGGGTGACGTCTGATATATGGTTCGATGGTGGTGTCACATTCGTAAACAATTTCTTTGGATCATTGATCTTCAGTGTGGTGAGGGGTTCACTGAGAATAGACTTGTACTGTAGGCTCAGTACTTCACTCATTTCTTTGTTGTCATCTTTGACAGTTCTATCACCATTGTACAAGGGGCCCAATGTTAGATGTAGTTTTTGTTCGAGATTTTGCACAAGAGAAAATGTATTTTGGATTCATCTCTTTTTCACTTATGGCATTTTGCTTTCTTTGTCTCTCCTTGATCTCACAAAGGTTATTAACACCTTTAAATGCACGGATGGTGAAATATTAGAGAGAGATTCCATAGTTGGAAATGTGTAGCACACACTCCTCTCACAATGTTCTTCACGTGGTCCTCAGATGACAGTTTTCTATCCAGAACCACCCATAGATCTCTATCAGAATTTGTAAAAGCTTCTTCACATAATTTGTACACTAGGTCTATTTTCCCCTATTTCAATTTCCACAAGATGGCATTTATTCGCATTAAATACCATTTGCCATATGTTGCTCCATACACTTATTTTGTCCAGGTCTTGTTGAAGGGCATGCCACTTGTCTAAGTCACATATCTTTCGTAGTAGCTTAGCATCAATAATAAACACATTCAGATTACTCTGTATTCCTTCTGGTAGATCGTTCATATGGACAAAGAAAATTACCGGTGCTAGAACTGAACCCTGAGGTACTCCACTAGTAACATATTTCTAGTTTAAAACATCGCTTCTGAATACCGCCCTCATCTGCCTGTCTAAAATATTCCTCCACGTGAATGGAGAAAAGAACACCTGACAGCTGAGTGGACAGCGCTTCGGATTCGTAGTCCTGAGGTTCCGGGTTCGATCCCCGGTGGAGGTGGAGACAAATGAGCAAAATGTTTCTTTCACCCCTGATACCTAGCAATAAATAGGTACCTGGGAGTTAGACAGCTGCTACGGGCTGCTTCCATGGGGTGGAGGCCTGGTCGAGGACCGGGCCGCGGGGACAATAACCCCCCAAATCATCTCAAGATAACCTCAAGATAAGATGTTAGAAGTCTCCCTTTCCTCCCACCATGATGTTCCAGTTTCCTAAACAGCCTGTAGTGTAAGACTGGAAAAAGTCTTTAGTCCAGGTAAATGCTGTCAATCCAATCATCTCTGATTGGATTGAGGAGTCCAATCAAAATCCAATCACCTATAAAATAAATAGGTAAATAAAATAAAATAAAAATAAAATAAAATGGGCTAAAATAGGTCCAATAAAATCCAATCACCTATAAAATCTCTGTGACTCTATCGTAGAAACTAAGTAGATTTGTTACACATGATCTTCCAGTTAAAAAAATCATACTATCTGTCTGTCAGGATAAAAACCCACACTTACATATTTGTGTATTTTATGTAAAGATTTACACCAAGCCTTTTGTACTCTCCTGAGTGCTTTATCAAGATCTGAGTGTATGGTTAGGATGAGACTTACATCTCAATGACTAATAAGGTTATATCAAGTTCAAGTATGTTTATTGAGATAAGAAAGAAACACATCTCAAAGGGATAGAATAGCTTAGGCTATTTCTAACCCCCCTATAGTCTATATTAATCCGGTAGAGTAATGGCTTGGGACGTAGGGGTATAGGTGGTGTTGGGGGTGGAGGGGTATGGGGTGGCGGGGTTTCAGGGTAAGGGGGTATCAGGAGAATCAGTGAGAGGGGAGGAATGATATGAGGGATGAGGGGACTATCATTATCTTATTATATAAATAACCAAGAATTATATTAAAAACAATTCATTACAGTAAAAACTAAAGAAATATTACCTAATATCATAACAAACACAAATTTCTTAAAAAACTCTGTGATCTAATAACTGTGTGTGTGTGTGTGGAGGCTAGATCAATGGGGCTAGCCCCACCCGAATGGAAGATCCTTGAATACACCCGCCCTAAATATTTTGAGAGCAAAAAGTCCAAAAACAGTTTTTTTTCCTATAGAAATATACAACATTATTAACTGATCTGGATAATATTAAATGAAAATTGTTGTTGTTCAAAGTTTGGCCATAGTACGATAAAAGAAGTAACCTCAATTCAGCGCCTCTTGACCGTTTTCTCTAGACTGTCAGAGAAAACAAAGAACTGACGCAGACTTGAAAGGGGGAACTATTATATTTCTGCATAAATATAAAAAAATAATAAAGCAACACATTTGCCCTTTTTTGTGTTACTGTATCATGAAGTAATACAGTAAGTGAAGTATAAGAACACGAAACAATGGGTATAAATTGGATAAATTTAGATTTAGGGAAGATCTGGGTAAATACTGGTTCGATAACAGGGTTGTTCATTTGTGGAACAAATGGAACCCCATAACGTGGTAGAGGTGGTGTCCCTCGATTGTTTCAAGCGTGGGTTGAACATGTATATGAGTGGGATTGGGTGGTTATAAACAGGAGCTTCGTATGAGCCAATAGGCCTTCTGCAGTTACCTATATTCTTATGTTCTTATTCGTAATAATGTACAAAAAGAGAGGGGAAGAGAGGGAGAGGAAGTAAGAGAGAGAGGGGGGAAGAGGAACTTCCCCAATACTAGTAATAGTACTTAAAACATATATCCTTATCAGTGTAATCACCTCTGTCGACATGCATTGTAGATATTTGTTGATATAAAACCTTGCTACAATGTACCTTTTCATCTTACCTGATATGTTAGATTAAGGACCCGCCTGAAACATTATGCGTGTTAGTGGCTTTGTGTGAATGTGAAAATATCACTGATGTAATCTCCCCAACCCTGTGTGTCTTCTTGTAAATAAGATATTATTGTTATTATTATTATTATTATTATTAAAGAGGGAGAAGAAGTAAGAGAGGGAAAGAGAGATGAAGAGCTAGTTCTCTTCTCCACACCCCCTCCACCTGTTGTTCCACACACACACACACACACACCACACACACACACACACACACACACACACACACACACACACACACACACACCACACACACACACACACACACACACACACACACACACACACACACACACACACACACACACACACCACCACCTGTTGCTCCACACACACACACACACACACCACCACCTGTTGCTCTACACACACACACACACACGCCACCACCTGTTGCTCCACACACACACACACGCCACCACCTGTTGCTCCACACACACACACACACACCACCACCTGTTGCTCCACACACACACACACCACCACCTGTTGCTCTACACACACACACACACACACGCCACCACCTGTTGCTCCACACACACACACACACCACCACCTGTTGCTCCACACACACACACACACACGCCACCACCTGTTGCTCCACACACACACACACCACCACCTGTTGCTCTACACACACACACACCACCACCTGTTGCTCTACACACACACACACCACCACCTGTTGCTCCACACACACACACACACACGCCACCTGTTGCTCCACACACACACACACACACACGCCACCACCTGTTGCTCTACACACACACACACACCACCACCACCTGTTGCTCCACACACACACACACCACCACCTGTTGCTCCACACACACACACACCACCACCTGTTGCTCCACACACACACACCACCACCTGTTGCTCCACACACACACACACACACACACACCACCACCTGTTGCTCTACACACACACACACCACCACCTGTTGCTCCACACACACACACACACACCACCACCTGTTGCTCCACACACACACACACACACGCCACCACCTGTTGCTCTACACACACACA